GAAATAGAGATACAATGCAGCGATATAAAGTTTAGCCGTAAATATATTTGTACTTGTCTCTGAAAACGATTCGTGTGAGAAAAGATTTATAGTAATTTTTACAGATTCTTGAGGACAGGGACCATACCTACTCTTGCTTCTCGCTGTGTTCCCATGCTCAGCACAGCGCTTGGCATATAATATACACTCAATAGATCTTTTTTAAATAAGCAAATGCAAGACAGATGTAACAACAGCTTTAGTAACATTTCTTTTAGAGGAATGCATATAATTTCCCATTACCTATTTTTGTGCTTCTGGTGAGTAATTTTGAAGGGAAATATTTTTTTTTTCCTGGTCACCATGAAACGCCAGATAAAATGTTTCAGTTCAGTCTCAAGCCATAACATAAACACCCAATTAAGGCCATCACTTGACTCGGTGAAGGTCTGGAATTGTGCACCTGACTTGACTTAGAATGAGTGACATCTTCCAGGGTTGGTGATTGGAATGACTGGAATTTTCCAGGACAGGTTTGTTGCCAATACACAAAATAAGAGAGACTCTTCTGTCACAGCTCGTCTGGTAAATAACTGATGACAGGCCAGTTCAGGGAATTTTTAGTGTAACTGATACTATTTTGCACTCAATTGTTATTTCTATTTTCATGTGAGCAGAAATAAAACTATTTTATTTTTAATTTGACAAATTTAACCTGCAACATCAGAGCATATGCATTACCCCGGTAGCATGCATTTGGTCCTTCTGATTTTCCAGGCTAATGTAACTTGACTGTCCAACTTCAAAGCAAGGAAAGTTTAGGGACTAGCAGGTGAGAGCCCCAGCCCATCCAGCTCTGGTCTAGGGGTTTCCAGGTGCTTCAGAAGGACATGCTGATCTTCCTTCTCTCTGCCCTCTCACTCAGTTCCTCCTGGCCAGCCCTGAATCTTTGTGGCAGGGACCCTTCCTGAAGCAAGGCAAAGAAAAGGTTAGAAGGAAACTCCGATGGCCTTAAAGCCTATTTTGCTCAGAATGTGATCTGGGGACCCCTTGCCTCAAAGTCTCTAGGAGCAGGTTAAATACATTCAGTCCTGGACACCACCCCAGGTCTACTGAGTCAAAATCTCTGGGGGTGGTGTCTTGGGATCTGCATTTTTGGCAATATTGATTTTGAACAGTATCTAATGTGCACTGAGGTTTGAGAACATGTACTTTTTTCTGACAGGTGATTCTATGTAGGAAAGTCACCTGGCAAGAAGTAGGTATTTTGTGTCCTCCACAGTGCCTCCAGCCTTTGCCCCCACTCCTCGGGGGCCCCTGTGCTCCACTCACCAGCCCCGTCTGCCCTTAGGCGGAGCAGGTGTCCTGGCTGTGGCTCAGGACATCTGCCAGACATTTTCCGCCATCCCTGAACTTCCTGTTCTTCCCAGAAACGTTGGCACAGGCCAAGGACAGTCAGACAGTGGCGGAGGCGTGTGTCCAGTTGTCGGAGCTTGGACACTAGCCCCATGTGCAGACTGAATCAGCCCTCTCTGCTGGGGAAAGGAGCAAGAAGTCTGGTGAGTCAGTGCTGCCAGTCGGCAGAGAGGGCACCCAGTCGTGGGGTGGGCCATGGGGCGGTCAGGAAGGACCCCGCCTCTGGGGCGTGTCCCCCAGCTTCGAGGGCAGTGGCTTGGACCCTCTGCCTCGCTGCCTGATGCACAGACTTTATGTTCCTGGGGCCCAAGCTGCCTTTTCTGCTTTTTGAGAAAAAAACTACTTATGAGAGCAGTGGGGACGTGTCCACTGTGAGGTCCGAGAGGACCCCAGAGGCACCTGCAAAGGCTTCAGCCCCCCCCTGGCTCCATCGGTTCTCGCCTCCTTCAGAGGCTCCACATAAACCGAGCGAGAGATTGAAGTCAGAATGATGCCCACTATGGCCATGCAGGTCTGATTCAAGCGCCCTGGATGGCAGCCTCTGAACAGACTGGTGGCGATGCCCCTCTCCAATTCTGGAGCCTCTCGTGTGGTCAAAACCACAAATTCCCCCCTTCTCTTAGTTGTTGCTACTTTGCTATTAGTAATGAATTACTCAGTGGATGCCAAAGCCTTTTACCCCAGGGGTGAGAAAAAGGGGTTAAAAAAAATACGCATCCCAGAAAAGACTCCACTCTTTTCAAACTTCAGCGTTTAACACAGCAGCGTTAGGAGCCTGGTTAAGTGCTGGTTTGCTGAGCTTTACAGCCAATGGTTCTGATCCAGCAGGTCTGAGGTAGGGCCCAGAAATATGCATGTTAAATAAACAACTCAAGGAATTCAAGATGTAAAGTGCCTGTGGGTCCGCAGACTACACCTTGGGACACACTTGTCTAAATGCACATCAAGGAGTGAATACTTCCAGATTCGCTTAGAATGGTCGCGGATGTGGGTGGTGGGGAGAGAGGAGTCCAATATTCCAAACGCCTTGGAAAGGGGCAGAGGGTAAACACAGGTGCAAAACAGGCATTTGCACAAGTTTGACAAGGGGTAAGCCTTGGCATTATGAAAGATACACGTACAGGAAATGAAATCACATCATTCTATTCGTCCTCCATATCAACTCGCCCCTCAGAACCGTGCACGACTCGACCTTGTTTGAGCTCAGCTGTGACCAGAGGCCCCAGAGGCCTCTTCATCGCCAGCCATCCTGGCTTCTTCCTGCTGTGCTTTGAATATGAAGGTGACGCTGGAAGGGATTTGCTTTGAGAGTTGGGCCTGGCGACCTGATTCCTGTCCAAACACACTCTCTTCTCCCCCAAGGAGGCGTCGGGACCAGCGACACACCATCTTTATGCATCGAAGTAAACTTCAGCTCTCACTCGTCAATTTGGAACAGGTCAAACCCTTCTTGCTCATTTTTAGGACTTTCTTCAGAGGTGGAAACGCTTACTGCTTTTGATCCTCAGGACATCAGGGTAAGAAAATTAACTCATCACGTGGCATTTTCAACTAGGTCATTCTGAAACAGTATTCAGCTTTTAAATTCGGAGGAGGGGTGACAGGTAATTCTTTAAAAGTCCCTCCTGGCTTTATATCATCACAGACCTGTGTGTATGCCAGGCCATTTGTATCCTTTATCTGAATCCTTAGCCTACACCCCAGACCGCACTATTTTCTCACATCTTACCCTGTACTGCAACACCGTCCTCTACTCGCCTCCATGACCACCTGGTCATAGCAGATCCAGAAGACCCGGGATGTCACATCAAGTGAGTCTTCGAAAATGAGCGAAGGGTGACGTTATGCCATTGTGCTGGGTGATTTCATTCTTGATAGCAAGAGCGTCCTTACCACGTGCCAGGTACCGTTCGGAACGCTGTGCAAATATTAATTTATTTAATCCTCACAGAAGCCTGTGAGGTATATGAGTGGGGTGGTATTGTAAGTTCTCATCAGCGCGTTTTATGGATGAGGAAACTGAACGTAACAGGTTAAGTAAATCAGGCAGGCCATGCAGTTAGTGAGTGGTGGAGTAAGGATTTGAACTCCTCCTTTGTTCTGAGTCACTACCTATATTGTTTATCTAAGGAGGCAAAACCAAATCCAGGCCAAAAAGGCCTCAAAAAAAAAAAAATCCCAAATACCATTCTTTTTAAAAAATCCGTTTTCAAGGACATTTCAGAAAAGGAGACGGGATATGGCAACCTAATTTGAGACTGTCCTCAGTCTAAAGGCAGAGTCGTCTCACGGTTTTTATATGGTCTACGTATTCACTACTATATTCCAACAAACTGGCAGATTGCTAACAACGGCCCAGCACAACCACCAATTTTTATTCAGTGTGTGCCAGCAATGATCTCATTTAATGCGCTCCACATTGAAGGCCGCTTTAACCGCTTCTCTCCTAAATATTAACACACCGAAGAGAACCATCCTTCCACCATGACTTGTTCTCAGCACACTGTGTCCCGCAGGACCAGGGAGAACACCTGCATCTACTCTGAGGCATGAGAGAGACGACATACCCGCACGGCCTGGATGACAACTCACCTTCCTGGTTCCCGCTAGAATCTACTTCTGTTTGGAGAAAAGCATTCACCTTAGGAGTTTTGAGCCTGTATCATAATTCTGGCTCCTCTACTCATGGTCCAGGGCCGGTAACAACCTCTCTTTTTTCTCTCTTTTTTTAAAAAAATTTTCTAGTGTTTATTTATTTTTGAGAGACAGAGCATGAGCTAGGAGGTGGGGGAGCAGAGAGAGAGGGAGACACAGAATCCGAAGCAGGCTCCAGGCTCTGAGCTGTCAGCACAGAGCCCAACATGGGGCTTGAACTCACGAATTACGAGATCATGGCCGGAGCCTAAGTGCGAGGCTTAACTGACTGAGCCACCCAGGTGCTCCAGTTATAACCCCTCTGAATCTATTTCCTACCTTTCTCGTGTCTTGTTTTTGGGTTTTGTTTTTTTTTTTTGGATCCAAATGAAATATTTATGAAAATGGATAAACCATAAAGTGCTAGAAAAGACCAGGTACTAGGGGCGCCTGGGTGGCTCAATCCGGAAAGCCTCCTATTTTGCCTCAGATCACGATCTCACAGTTTGTGGGTTCGAGTCCCAAGTCGGGCTTTGTGCTGACAGCTCAGAGTCTGGAGCCTGCTTGGGATCTGTGTCTCCCTCTCTTTCTGCCCCTCCCCCACTCATGCTCTGTCTCTGTCTCTCAAAAATAAGTAAACGTTAAAAAAAAGAAAAGATCATACAATATTAAAGATGATTTTAATAAATATGATACTTTTTACTCTGGCATATTTATGTAAAGGCCAGTGACTCTCTGCCACTTAATTTAAGGTTGACTGCTGCTTCCCCTCCTTCGCCGCCCTGGCAGACTTCTTCAGAGCAGTAACTATGTCTTATTCATCGTTGCCTCTTAAGACTGTCTGGCACATAGTAGGTAATCAATAAATGTTCCTTGAATGAATGAATAAATAAAAGACATTTTCAAAGGAATTTTGAAGGTTCCCATCTAGGATGAGAGGAGTCCGTGGAGGGAAGAGTTATTCACAATACCTGCTTCAACCACATGGTCCATCGTAGGGAATCTTTTGTACACAGCCGTGCTCACAGAGCGGAAGATGAGCAGGGACGTGAGATTCACATAGCGCATCAGGGTCCTTCTGAGCAGGCGCCCGTGTTCGTCGCTTCCGTGAACACTGCTGGAGATGAGGAACATCAGCCTGTCTGGCCAGGGCAGGTTCACAAACTGGTTCCACCATCGGTTCACTACCAGAGTAACATAAAACCCTGTAAAATAACAGGAAGCTATAAAGCAATTTCTTATAGCAGACATGTTGTTGACACTGATGCTTTTAGCAGAATTTCAGCCTCTTTAGGGATCGGGGTGTAAAAATATGTTGTTATCCATACTTATGACTTTGCCTTCCAAAAAAAAAAATAAAAATGTAATTTGTGCCTGGCAATGTCATAGCACCCAGTAAGTGGGTGTTAGAATTCAAATATTGATGGCAAAAATGGGCAGTTAGTGAAGAGAAAGCTTGATTGTCTGATAGCAAATTATTACCTCAAACTTGTTTGGTGTTAATTTAGCGAAAGCAGCCCTGAGGGCAAACTTTATGGATGATTCTGGTTCTATTGCAAGCAGTGGCTTTTCAGGCATGCCTCTCAGCTTGGAAACACTCCCATGCAGAGTCATTGATGTCATCCGAACAGAGACAGTGTGGCTGCGTTCTGCGTGTGACCTATACTTACCAAGCACAAAGGTTACTGGAATTTGTTCAGCATATCTGTCACAGTAAATTGATAATTTTTCAAAGTAACGTTTTTGGGCTCCTGTAAGTAACAATCTGGAGCAAAAATAAAATGCACAGCCCTTTATGATATTATACTTCTGCACCTGCTTTGCAAGTGATATTCAGTGCAAACAATTAAGCACAAATAATTGTAATTTTTTTTAAGAAGCGATAATGCTTTTTTCTACCTAAGCTGATAGATCTCAAAAGCTTTTTAATTGTTGAATGTTTCAAGTACCAATGTTTTCAGTACATAAATGTTATTGGCCATTAGACAGTGGGATTTATTAACTTCCATTTACTTATATGTTTTTTAACTTTTATTTTTAAATACTTTATATTTAAACTTTTGTATGATGAATACATTGGATTTAGAGCAAAGTAACTCATTAAAGAGTCCAATTTTCAATTATTCATCAGGTATACTTTAAAAACGGGTGTCTTGATTAAGTGAACTACAGTTGTTAAGTAATTATGAGGATTAAATTATAACCCTAACCTTGACATCTTGATCTTACGAGTATGCTACTTAGCACATTCTTGATTATATGTGTTGTACTTCAAAGGCTATTATAACCGTTTATTTTAAAACCTGCAATTATTTAAAATATAAAATAACACATAACAACAAGGAGTAAAAATTTTTATTCCTGCATTTGGTGGGTTTGTGTTTGCATAATACAAATATCAAAATTTATATTATGCATCTCACCAAAACCCATTTTCTGGTATGAACTTAGGCTAAACCTAAGTTCATTTAAAGGAACTATTATTGATATTTATGTTACAGGGAGGGGATTTGCAGTCAGGAGAGACGTCCCAAGGCAGGGTAATCGTAATGGTCGAGATCTACAAGGAGAAGCAACGCAAAGAAATTTGCATAAATGGATGGTACAGCTGTTCCAAGGGAGGAAGAAATCCCTGGGAAACATCCATTACAACATATGTCAAAAGGCCTGTTTGAGTCAGTAGAATTTTGATAGAGGAAGCAGAGGGATGATGGGGTAACAGCGAGCCACCAATCAGATTGCGCATGAAGAGCTGGTAGTGACAAAGGAGTTTGGGGTGCAGGATGGGCTTGGAGTTCCTGCCTCAGCTTTGAGGAGGTTTCAGAAATTCTTATTCAGCTTGTTCTTATTCAGCTGCACAGGCCTGTCAAGGTCATGCCAATGACAAGTCACAGCCATAACAGTTTCTGACACTCAGATAGAAATGGTCCAAGAGGATTTAAAGGCAGAAAGCACAGACCTTAAGGTCAGACAAAGCCAGGTTTGAATCCCAGATCTGCCACTTACAAATTTGGACTTGGAACATATTTTTAAATCTCTCTGAGCCTCAGTTTTCTCACTTGTAAATGGGGACAATAAAGCCTATGTGTTAGGAATGTTATGAGGATTAAAGAATATATCATATATAAAACCACTGAACATACAGTGTCATACTTTTTCGATAATAAAGTGGTGGTTATTATTAACAACTGGCCAAAGGAAAAAATATTTAGCTAATAGCTCCGTAGAAAGTTTACTAGCTAAAAAGTACTAAAATGGTGATTTTTGTCGAATTCACCCCAAAATAAAAAGAGGTATACTCAAAAGTAATGAAGTCTGGTTTTGTCTCATGATTTTTGCTAAGTATCATTATTTGCTTAGAATAGAATTTTAAAACTTAGGATGATTAGTAGACATGAGAATGATGCTATAATTTTCTACAGGTATGTTTGACTTTCTTGATAAATTCAACCTATCGTGGTTGGTATACCTTCAATCAAGATTAAGAAGATATTTTGACGAGATTTTATAGCTGAACTTTACAAAAATGAAGAATGACTTGCACGACTGATCATTGTTATAAATGTAAGCACTCTTTGGTCTTTAGCAAAAATACGTGCATACAATTTTGTGGGGTATGAGCAAGATATTGAAGCAAGAGTGGAGGCCCCATGGAGGATTTCTGGCCACGACGCAGCTGCTCTGAGTGCTATTCAGAGTGCTATTGCAGCAGTAGCAGCAATAAACTCACATTAGTAAAAATAAACTAATGAGACAATTCTTCTGAAACGTCATGTGTCTTCCACTATTTCATATTCTGAAGCATTAGGTGATACAAAAATACATTGTCAAAATAACGTTGTACTTATAAGACACATCTGAAAAATTATTGGAGGTTTTTAAATAAAACCCCTGATGTCCCTTTACAGATATTTTGATATGCAGCAAAATAGCCCTTCCTATTCTATTTTTGACAATTATCAGCTGGCCAAATTACTCTCTCTCTTGGTCAAAGGGAGTCCCGTGGCTGCAAAGAAGAAGGTCGGTAAGAGCAATGATAATACGAAGTCGTTCATCAGTATGCGGGAGAGAAAGAACAAACTGAAGTGCATAGAAAAGGTGGAAATACAGCCTCAAAAACCTTTAGCTTTTCTATTTTAAGTTTTAAATTCCCCCAGAGTAGAAATGTATGCAATAAGTTTTAATTAAAAAAAAAACTAAACACAGATATCACATGTTTTCACTCCTACGTGGAATTTGAGAAACTTAACAGAGGACCGCAGGGAAAGGGAAGGAAAAATAAGTTACAAACAGAGGGGGAGGCAAACCGTAAGAGACTCTTAAGTACAAAGAACAAACTGAGGGTTGATGCGGGTGATGGTTGTGAAGGAGGGGAAAATGGGAGACAGGCATTGTGGAGGGCACTTGTTGGGACGAACACTGGATGTTGCATGTAAGCGATGAACCACGGGAAATCTACTCCCAAAGCCAGGACTACACTGTACACGCTGTATGTTAGCTAACTTGGCAATAAAGTATTTAAAAATAAATAAATGAAAATAAAATAAAATTAGTTAAAAAAAAAAAACCTCATAAAGCTTCCCATTTGCACTACTGGTAACATTTTATTTAGACTATAATTTTAGTCACACAAGTATTTCCTCAACATGATTTTGCTCAAATTTTCTGTCGATCTGACGGGCTTAGGTTGTGATGGTATAAAGAATAAACATCTTCTGTTGTGAACATAATGTACCCCGCACTCAGAGGGTAAAAATAAAATAAATTCGTTTTCAGGCCTCGGCACCACCCTGGAGGAGATCTTGTCATTCCAGGCAAAAGAAAGGAAAGTCACCTGATAGACACCCTTCACGGACATGTCAATTATGTAGGCAGTGGCTATAAGCTGCCAAGTCACAAATTCAAACTATCAATGACATAGCTGAGAGAGGCACTGATGATTATTTGTTCGTGGCCTTTGCCACTCAAAATCACCACTGAGTGAGGAGTTAAGTAATAAATCTGCCATTTTATGCCTCCGGCAAAATCCTGGCAGGGTGCCTAGTATCACATTGTGATCAATTCACATGGGGCTGGCATGAGGGCCACCTGGACATGATAGAGTCTACTTGAGATCCCTAAGCATGGGTTAAGTGTGGATTAAAATACCCTGAGATTGGGGCGCCTGGGTGGCGCAGTCGGTTGAGCATCCGACTTCAGCCAGGTCACGATCTCGCAGTCCGTGAGTTCGAGCCCCGCGTCAGGCTCTGGGCTGATGGCTCGGAGCCTGGAGCCTGTTTCTGATTCTGTGTCTCCCTCTCTCTCTGCCCCTCCCCCATTCATGCTCTGTCTCTCTCTGTCCCAAAAAATAAATAAACGTTGAAAAAAAAATTTAAAAAGAAAAATAAATAAATAAAATACCCTGAGATGAAGAATGCAAGAGAGGATCATGCAAAAGAGATTACATAAGGCAAAAGTCAGCGGCAACCCAAGGCTCAGATTTTTGAGACTGTATTCTTACATGATATTTGATGGCCGTTTAAGGAGACATGCAAAGGAAGGTACCTGTACACCAAACTTATTGCCGTGTAAAAAACAGCAAAGACAATAAATTCCCTGTACAGTAGTTTGTAGATGCTGCCTCTCCACTTGAGGAGTAACCTATGAAATCCAAAAAAAGTCGCATTTGCTACTTTACTGGAGTACGTGACAGTCATCTCGGATAGCTTTTCTATTTTTTTCTAGAAGAGCAAGAAGACAAAACACAAGTAAAAAGCAGTGCTTAAGATGGAGCATAAATCTGTGTCTCAAAGAAACCCAAGCCGGTCACCAGTCAACCATCTCCCCATTTTGCCTTTCTCTGTTTAAACCATTTGGAATTTGGAGATAACCAACGTCTCCATGTTAAATCTTTTAGTAGAAAAGGGGAGGAGAGTAGTCTCTGGAAAGAGTATTATTAGAACCCGGCTTAATTTATAAATATTATTTTCAGGTTTTATAGTCATGACTTAGTAATATTTGAATGAACGAATGAATATGATATATGAAATATGTTGTAGAATCACCCGTCATGTTATTTTCTTAACCCATGGGAAGATTCAGGGTACTGATACGCTATATTAATTGATATTTTCAAAGGCACTGGCCATACTTACTGTTTGGGTCTTTATCTGCTACAGTACGTAAAGAAGTGTTTATTTCACCCTTAAATTTCATAAGGGGAACTTAATGGCTCTCTTCTGAGAACTCAGGAGATATTGTTGAAAAGAAGCAAGACTCTTAAGAGAATTTAATTGATGGGTCACTTTTGGTGGTTTTAGTTGGATGTGGGTATCTCTCTAGCGGAGCTGCAAGTGCACGGTTGACACTGTACATTTCAAAAGGCAGGGCCACAGGGATAGTATACAGAAGGTGCACTTCCCTTTGGAAGTCATGCGTAAAAGGCTTAGGGAGGTTCACTTTCTGTTTGGAGCCGACCAAAATAAGGCCATTATTTAGGGCTCTCTCCACGTGGATCTGTTCCACAGATACGAGTAGAATGAGAATTGGACCCCTATGCCTCGTTTCAGTGAGTTCTCTGGCATTCATTGCTTTTCAACAAGACATCAAACATTCAGGTTCTGAGACGGCCCCGAACTAATCTTTGTTTGAAAATCCTGCACCACCACTTTCTAACATGGAGCATATACAGAGAAAATGAAATTTCTCGGAAATCTTTCTTGTTTCAAAAGAATCTCTGAGGGGAGTCTTCCAGAGCTACTTAGATGGAAATTATGGAGGTCTGAGGTAGAAGTGGGCAGATTTCTCATATAAAGTAGCCTGCAACCCACATTTTATCTAAACGGGAAGATGTTCTGTCTTTCTTCAGAGGTGGGAAAACAATCCAATTCTAATTTGCCTAGTTTCCCTAAAGAAATAAAACTCTGGCACTATATTCACAAACTTAAGCCTTCAGCATCACTGATTTTGGTAAAGAAACCAGGACTTTTGGCGTAAGTAAGTGGCATTACGAGAGGATGGGAATCATGCCACAGCCAGTTTCATTTTTCCATTTTACCTTGTCTATCTGTGTAATGTGAGTACAGTCAAAACTAGGAGAGAGGAGCCTAATAAATTAACCACATTTTATAATTTGTTCTCGTGGGCAGCATCATTTTAAATAACAGTCCTCCACTTTTTTTTCGTTTAACCATCCACCCTTCTATTTCGGCTATCAGAAAAATTAAGATCAGACAGAGTAGAGATCAGAATTAAAATGCATAGATATACTCTCTGTGCACTAACCTATTTCTTTGGTTTCAAGTCTCCGACGGGAAAGAAACTCTTCCAATTTCAGGCTCCCCCTGAAGAGGTGCCTTCGGGTCGGTGTTGCGTTCGGCTCCGCTCTTCACTCACGCACAGTCAGATTTTCTTTCCTTCCCTGGCCACCGAGAAGACCCAGAGGGTGACAAGTACAGGAGTTAAATGTTTTTCCACTTGTGGAGGCCTGTTTATGCCAATTTGCCCACTGATGACAGTTATAGCCGGGAACAAACAGAAGCAACAGCTGCTGATGTAGCTTTTTCCTCATCTATAATTATAACTCCACCTGCCGCCCAAAGTACCCCTTTGAATGAGAAGTCGGAGGTGACGTGAAGGAGATTGGGCCATTGAAGTACATTATTTTCATTTGGTTCTACCCTGGGATCAAGGAAGAGAGATCCATTTTCCCCTACAAGGTTCTGAAGAGGCTCCACTGGTCAAAAAAGGGAATTAGGACAGTCTGTGTGTGCTTAAAATGAAGAATGAGCTGTTGTGAAGCCATAAACTGGGGCAGATAAGAATTTCCTTTCATTTGAGAGGTATTGAGAATGCTCTCCCATTAAAAGCAACAAGCATACGTGTTTCAGTGTGCGTGTGGGCGCACGTGTGCGCGCGCATTTTAGCAGAGCATAGAAAATTATTATGTGTGATGGCTTAGTGTAGCGGAAAATAACACCCTGATTCATTCATTACGTTTGTTATCCTTCCATGTCAGCTAAGAAAAATTGTAAATTATTCAAAATGACTTCCATAGTTTCCTTCTTGAAAGAGAGAGTTCATTGGTATTCCTTAGATAATGAAATAAATAATTTCAGGGTCAATTCCTGGGGACTTTGCAATCTTCTAAAGTAATGTGTGCACCCAGCATTGCAACTTAAGCTTAACTAAAATGACTACCAAAAAACCCCATATATTTTTGTGAGGAAAGAAGAGTAAAAAGACACTCATTCTAAAATTGAGAATATATACATTTAAAAGGTGGTGTTTTTTTTTACAGCAGTCTTAAGTTTTATATGCATTTGCCTGGTTTCTTTATCAAACTATAAGCACCTTAGAGCAAAGAGTTATAGTGTCTGATTTTTTGCCCCCATCCCTGTTCATAGTTCCAGCATGAAGCCCTGTGTATAATGGATATTCAATATGCATCTGTCGTTTGATTATCACCTTGTCATTATGATACTTCTGTCAGTACATTTGGGGGAATTTATGAACATTTTATTTATTTATTTATTTATTTATTTATTTAAGTTTGTGAACATTTTGAAAGCACATATTTTCTATTTGGTTGCCGTGAAAAGTGGCTGGATAGACCTGACATTGCATTTATAAAGGTTTGCAAGACTAATCAATGTTATAGAGTTTGAGCAAATCTAAACCCAAGTGCTTATGAAATAGAAACGTGGGAGGTAGTTTTAAAAATTCTCACTTTTGGGGGCTCCTGGGTGGCTCAGTCAGTTAAGCAACCAACTCCTGATTTAGGTTCAGGCCATGATTTCACGGTTCACGAGAGCCCTGAGTTGGGCTCAGTGCTGACAGTGCAGAGCCTCCTTGGGATTCTCTCTCTCCCTTTCTCTCTGCCCCTCCCTGCCTCTCAAAATAAATAAGCATTAAAAAAAAAAAACCTCTCACGTTTGTGTCTCCTGTTGGATGTGTGGTTGGCCCTGAAACGTGGCATGATTCCCAGCAATCACGACTGCATAACTGGGGAGTCTGCCTCATCTTTGGGGCACTGTTGGCTGGTCTCACTTTTAAACAAGGTTAATGATGTTCATATTTCCCATCAGGCTCTTTTAAGGAATGACTAATTAATGGTTGAGAACGCACTCTAAATGCAAGTTAGTCAATAATGACTAGACTAAACGAACAAACTCTCATTATTGGGCTCTGAGTCTGGCGGCTATTTCTAACACATACCAAAAGATGCCATTCAGAAATGAACTCATTAGAGGGGACAAGCCACTATAGCTTATTTCAAAATATCCAAACAAATTGCAAAGTTAACTGTTTATATGATTTTTTGAAGAAAACTTTAAAGTCTCATGTTTAAAATAGACATATTCCAGATTCTGAAAGTAACATATGCTTATTAATAATTAAAACAACATATAGGGGCACCTAGGTGGCTCAGTTGGTTAAGCGGCCAACTTTGGCTGAGGTCATGATCTCACGGTTCGTGGGTCTGAGCCGTGGGTGTCTCTGTGCTGACAGCTCAGAGCCTGGAGCCTGCTTCAGATTCTATGTCTCCCTCTCTCTTTGCCCCTTCCCCATTCTCACTCTCTCTCTCAAAAATAAATAATAAAACATTTAAAAAAGTGAAAAAGCCCCACATTCATTTTAAACTCTTTTACTTGTATCATTGATGTGAGGAATCTTTGCTAAATTTCTTTTGAGTGCTTGGTTGAACATGGTCATGTGCACACGAAACTTTGCATTCAAGTAAGTTCCAAGTTTTGCTCAGTCGGAAGAGCACGCGACTCTTGATCTTGGGGTTGTGATTTTGAGCCCCACGTTGGGTGCAGAGAATACTTACAAATAAATATGCAAGACCAGAAATTGTTGTATTTTGGAGAATTTTATTCCGACTCTCAGATTTTTGGACATTACTAAATGGAGAACAATGAATCATAAATGTTTTTGCACAGGAAAAGGGCTTGAAAAAAATCTGTGTTGTAGAAAGGGGAGTCTGTGAGAAGAGTGTGTGATGTATTTGAGTGGGCAGGGACTATAGAGAGGGAACCAGTTTGGAGTTATTGTGGCTGTTGGTAGTGGGGTGGTGGGTGAGTGCAATGCAAAAGGATGGTGAGATAAAGTCCAGAGGAAAACTACCACTGGGGGGAGAAAAAGGAGGGCCGACTGAAGGGGGAGCCAAAGGACGAAAGAGAAGTCCGATATGCTCATGAAGAATGAGAACCACATAATATTTCGGATTTGTTCAAATGCCACAGTTCTTTGTAGGGCACCATGTAACTTTAAGATGTTTATCCTGCAAATAAAAACTTCTGATTAGAAAAAAATGGATGCAAAGTAAAATCACAAAGAGGAGCTCATGTGTGCATCAACAGTCAAGTTGTTGAATTATGTTTGATTAGCTAATCTTCAGTTTTTCTGTTAATAATTCTGTTAATAATGATTCTTCTGGCACTTACTCATTTTGCTATATGTTGGATCTCTGTAGAAAAAAGACGGTAGTCAGTGCCAAGGCCCAAGAAAAATTCATACAGTAAACTTCCAGTTGAGAACATTCATTCATTCATTTTTCCCCCCACATCAGAATACCTTGGTTCAGTTGGTTTGAGAACCACTCACGGTGATATTTTTCCCTACAATTTTTTATTGGCTCAGTGGTACTGTAAGCCTCTTGGGAACACCTGCCTTACTCTTTCTTATTTTTCCCCTATGTATTGGCTGCCATGATTGATGCCATAGCTGCGAAACGAGCAGCTGAGTGGGACAAGTCTTGTGTCTGTCCAGATGAATGGAGATTTCTGATATATGTTGTTGGTGATAGAACTCTGCCGAAAAAATCAAATCCAAGTGGGATTAATTAATTATTTTCTTTTTGAGTTCAGGGGACAAATAGAGAACTTCTAGGATGAGAAAGACTATTGAATTTTATTACAGATGAAGCTCTAAGCTCATAAGTGACTGGATATTTGAGGAGTCATCATAACTTTCCTTACACAGAGTAATTTCCAACTCAGCAAAACAAAATGCATTAGTTCAAATTTTGAAGGTTACCTTTTTCTAATGGGAGGTACAGATACTTTGTTCTATTTTAGGGATGAAAGCTCAGAGTCTAGAGAATTCTTACTATGGTACTTAAAGTGTATCCTGTGCTTTCTAATCAATATTTCTTAAATGGATGGTACCCCCGCTTAGCTCAGGTACATTCCTGATTGCTGAAGAAAAAACCCCCTGCAACATAGAACCAATTCAAAAACAGTTTCATTTTGCATGAAAAAGCACGCAAATCCAAGTAAGTTGTTTGTTCCAAACTGCTGAGAAATTGTTACTTCACCACTGCAATGGCCATCTGGAAATCATGTGGTAAATCATGTGGGTAAAGGGAAGATACAGGTAAATAGAAAAATTCTATGCATAAATATCTGGATACATCTAAGACACCCTTTTATCTGCGGTAAAATGCGCGTGTATATGAAAACCAGTTGTTGGTTCTGCTTCTCCCATAAAGTGGATTGCTCCTTAATGGCTACCGTGGGGAGAGTAGTGGGTTTGGATTAAGAGAATGAAGAAGGAACTTCAGTTTGTGCTCCATATAATTTTGTATTTTTAAAATACCATCCATATTTTCATATTTAATCATATGCAATAAAAAATCTTATCTTAAATTTATTCCTCCAGCCCAGATCTTACACCCAACTCCAGAATATCCTTAATATTCTCAACAATATCCCAAACCCTAAAGGCCTCAAACTGGGCCCCTGATCTTTTCCCTAAAACATGCTCCCCCTGCAACCTTTCATCTCCGTTGATGAAAATTCCTTCCTTCCAAAAGATAAAAAACCTAGGAGTCACTTTCATCTCCTCTTTTTCTTTCGTACCGCTGTCCAGTCTTCCACAAATCCATCCACAAATTCTCCACTGTCCAAATATACTCAGAATCTGTTATTTCATTCTCTTCTCACATCCTTGTCTCTTCCCTTCCCACCTCGCCAGAGCCACTATCATCACTCACCCAGCTTATTCTAGCAGCTTCCCAGCAGGCGTCCTTGATTTCCACTTGCTCCCTTCAATATCTGACAAAAAGGCGGAGTGCTCATACTAAAAGTAAGTCAGGTGAGTGGTGTCATTCCTCTGCCCAAAGCCCGTCTATGGCTCCCTGTTTCTCACAGTAAAAGCCCAAGTCCTTCAGTGGTCCACAAGGTCTTCATGACTTGCCCCATTTCCTCTCTGGTCTCATTTCCTATTACTCTCTCCTTTCCTTCCTCCAACATATCCAGCATTGTTCCATTCTAATGTTTAGGAATGGCTCGTCTTTCTGCCTGAAATGCCCTTCCTCCAGATATTTGAGTGGTTGTCTCCCTCATTCTTTCAAATCTTTGCTCAAATATTTTCTCAATGATCTGATAATCCTACTTAAAATTGAATACTGACCCAGCACACCTCTCTCTCCATTGCCCTCCTGACCCCCCCCTTATCCTTTTGTTTTTTTTATCCGTGCCATTTATCTCCTTTAAATATACCATCTAATTCACACATTTATTGTGTTTACTGTCTACGTATTTGTACTAAATTGGAAGTTTCATGAGGGCAGAGGGCCATCTGTTTTGTTCACTGATGAGAACAAAGTGCATCCAATGCCTAGTTC